CTATGAACAATGAGCAAGATGAAAAGAAGTTTATTAATAAAATCCGTAAACCCTCTTTTAAATATGCTAGACAACTTAGACCTTTACTTATAGGAGCACATATGGGAAAAGCTAGTATGACTCTTAATAAACCTATTATTGTTGGAGCATCAGTTCTAGGTCTTAGCAAGCTCTTAATGTATCGTTTCTGGTATGGTTATGTAAAAGAGAGATATGGTAATAAAGCCCAGCTTGGATATATGGACACAGACTCATTCATATTCCAAGTTGAAACTGAAGATATCTATAAAGATATGTCAGAGCGACCTGACCTTTTCGATCTTAATGATTCTAAAACTATAGGTCTTTTTAAAGATGAGACTCCTGGCAATGTGATTACAGAATCTTATCATATTCGAGCTAAGTCATACTACTATGTCTTAGCAGACAAGACCACAAAGTTTAAACATAAGGGGGTTAGCAAAAAGGATATAAATGAAATGGCTACGAACTTATATATGCCAACTTTAGAAGGGTCCTTGCTAGATGATCCAATAGATATATCATTATTATTAGAGGAAGAAGTCAAGGATTTGGCTATGCGAACTGAGGCTGATCCTATGACTCTAGTTTATCGAGACTGTCTCTTTGTTAATGAAGTATTCCACGCTAAAAATGTAGATATTCGATCAAAAGACCATATATTATCTTTGGTTAAATCAGAAAAGAAGGCTCTTTGCCCTATAGATACTAAGCGTTGGATATTATCTGATAAAATAACTAGTTTGCCATATGGTCATTGGCGTATACAAGCATATAAAAATTTTGTATCAAATGGAATATCTCCAGAGTTAGCTGAACAAAGAGCTTTAAGCGTTAAGCTCTCAAAGAAGTATCAAAATGAATATGTATCCCATATATCATAATTCATGGAATAGTTCAAGTTGGTATTTGTTAGTATTTTAAATTGGTAGTACGTGACCCATAGATCACAATATCATGTGACTACTGCGCTAGAAACTGACGATTATATATTCTGATACCATAACTACTATCGAATATTTCATTGAATATAGTAGCATGAATTTTTTAGATAAACAACTTTGGCAAGATATAAAATAGATTTTTTAGTATATGAACTTGCTTGACATTTAAATAATTAACATTTTTGTAAAATGTTTTAGTACTTTAAAAAAAAACTATCTAAAGTATAGCTCTATAAATTTACAAAAATTTAAACCTTCAAATTTCACAAAATGGAAATGATACTATTGTTTTTTTATGTAAATTTTATAAATCGTATTAAGAACAATTAGTCAGTCTATTAAATAATTTTATAGTATTTAAATATTGAAAACGATAACCTTTTTTTTTTTAAAAAAAAAAATAACAAATCCTGATTACATTTTATGTTTTATTTAGCAAAAAAAAACTTGTTTGACTTACAGATGTTTTTGAAAATTGTTGTTCCCAGCTTAAAAATATTATATCTATTTTTTTCTATTAACATTTACATCCCCTGCATCTATAACCTCTATTTTTAATATCCTTCTCAGGGGGTACTAGAAAGTAATCAATAAACATAAAGGCAAGTTGGATCCAATTTGTAAAGACTCTAATTCCTCCAACTATATATATAAATGTATAGGCAACAACAATTAAATCAAAGCATCCAGAAAGAAACAAGAAAAAAAAGCTTAGTAAAAAAATAAAAAAACCTGCACCAATTTGAAAATTGCAAAGATGCAAGAAAATAAAGCATAAAATGTAATTGATAGTAAACTTATTCTAAAATAAGGTGGTAAGGATTTGTATAATGAAGGAAGTGTCGGAAAGACCAATGAAAGTGCGTGAGGTATGAGATACATTACTAAGTGATGAATATAGTTCCCTATATCTTTTTTTTTTTTAAAGAAAAAAAAGAATACGTATATATAATGTTAGTCAAATTTTTGTATAATTATTTAAAAAAAAAAAAATTAGATAATGATAACTTTAATTACCTTTCCAAGTATCAATACCATCCGAAACACTACCTGTTTATTTAGAAACACGTTAAAACGACAATGAGTTAGTATTTTCTTTACACCAAGCTCGAAAAAAAAAACAACTATAAATTTTTAAGTACCTATATAAGCGCCAGGCATACGATATAGTAATGATTCTTTTGAAATATTGGTTGGAGTAGAAACACTTGAACCGTCAAGAAAAGTTGACGGCCGGCGAGAAAATTGGGAATTAATAGCTATTTAAAGAGACAATGAGTAATTTAATGTCAATTTCATGTTTGGTTGTGAAAAGACTATTGAGAAGATTACTAACCAAAAATATCGGTAATTTCTGAATCTAAATGGCAATCAAACTCGTCTGAATGGTCTGCAAAAAAGAAATTTTACGATAAATTTCCAATCAATAATGTAGGAAATAACAATAAACAATTAGATTTAAATATGATAATATGATAACATACGAATCCTTGCACAGAAAGCAACCATGTGATGGAAAGTTTCGGGAGAAAAATTTTCAGGTTCTGGTAAAGTTTGGAATTCTAGATATCGCGGTGTATAAATAGCTTCCGGATGTATCCATGATATACCATCTTTTAATTTTCCTTCTTGATCAGCGATGTTAAATTCAGCAGCAATATCTGATGCAGAGTCATTACATAGATCCAACCACCATTGCACCCAGATATAAACTTCTTCAGCCTCGGGACGGTTTTCTATATTTGCATCCCAACACCTTTTAATTAATTTGGCCAAAGATTTTGGCATATTTTGGTCAATATGTGGTCTAAGTCCACAACATATTCTTTGAGCCAAAAATTTATTATGCGCATTAAGGTCAAAAGGTGGTCGTTGAGTTGCAATTTCCCACATAATTATACCTAAGCTGTATATATCAGAAGCTTTATTTAATGGTCCACCACGTAATACTTCTGGAGCGATGTAAGGAAGCACACCATATATTCCACTAGCATGTGATATTGTTGGAGAATCATCACCCAAATTGGGCATGTTTAAGTCTGTAATTAGTATTGAATTCATTTGCCTTAATATATTTCCCGTATGAAAATTTCTATGAATTGAATCTGATTCATGAATACGATGAAGAATCAAGGCAATATCAGCAATAATTTCTAATTTCGTTTTCCAATCGTGTTCTAGAAAAGGTATTTGTTTATATAAATAACTCCTAAAATCATTTTCTAGACAACGAATTACTAACGCATAATCTCGTGTAATAGGATGCTGAGTGATCCCATAACATCTTATTAGACCACTTCGGCCATTTTTATGAGATATTAACTAAAAATAATATAATGAAATAATTAAATTGGTGTGACAAAAATATAGTAAAACTATGAACTACTAATAAATTAATACACAATTACCTCGTTAAGAAAATCAGAAATATTACTTGAAGAATTTTGAATGACTTTTATAGTAAATTTTGTTCCAGAATCGCAACGCCCCCAGATTCCTCTTCTATTATCCCAATGGGTAATATAACCATCTATCCATGAAGCAGAATAGGTAGAACCGAAACGTCCTAACCCGACATTTTTAATCCTTGAGAATCTTTCCCAAGGGATCCATTCTAAAACTTGGGAACAACCAATTGCGTTCAATTGAGCAGTCGAAATGAAATTATCAATGTCCTTATTTCCACTACTCCAAATACCAAAACTTTCGCGAAATCGGTCTGAATTACATTTTCTACACCATTCGGCACTAGTTTTAGGAGATTGACATTCTTTACATGTACCATAAACATCTAGATGTTGTTTAATTTCTATGTCATCAAATAAAGATGATTTTGATGATGCAGATGTTCGATTAGAATTAATAGAATTATAATCATCTCCTGACGAAGAGCTACTACTATTTCTCGGATTTGTCTCCATTTTTTGTAAGTACTTTTTTTTTATATACTAACAAGTTAAGTAAACTAAAGGAATCGATGGTAATTAATGACATCAAAAGCTACTGATTTTGATTGAATGAAGGCACAAAAAAATCAATGATTTCTATTGAAGAAATGAAATTGTTCAAAAAAAAGCTAAAGGAATGTTTAGGAGAGTTTCGAAACATTATTGGAACGAAACCATGATTATGGAATCCAATTCCTGAAAAGCTAAGGAAATATTAAGTAAATGAATGGATTAATGCTATAGGTTCTCCTTAGTACATCCAATGTTTACACCAATATAAATAACATAACTCGCGAATTTTGAATACTATCCAAATTTGGTCATTCTACATTTATTAAGAGATTTTATTGTGTATCACATGTAAAGATGATGATCTTATTGGTGCACTATATTAGATTAAGATTCGTCATACATTGGTACTTCGCATAACAGTATGGTCATGTGACCAGTCAAACACTTTTGTAAAGATTTAGAATAAGCCCCGCATTTTATTACAGGATTATACGAAGACAATTATTAAATTCAAAAAGGAATGTGTTTTGTTTGTTCTGTTTTGTTTTACTTTTAAAAAGATGAGGCTGAACTTAATTTTCATTAAATCTATAATAAATTATAAAAAAAAAAAATTCTTTAAAATTAATTAAAATATATATATTTTTTATAAATCATGTAAAACAAGTATTTACCAAGGAAAAACTCGCATATGGAAGGACAATCGACAAATAAAAATTTACTTTTTTTCTTTCTTAAAATACCAAGTGCATTCCTAGCCCACGAATTACGATAAAGCAATTCAATAAAAACATTACTTACCGGCATCATATCTATTAATAAAGAGAACCTGGCAAGATATTATACATATATATATATGCATCCCAACTATATATATATGATTATATATTTATTTGAAATGTTCAGGAGTCTAATTACATAATCACAATATCAGCGCAGTATTATTACATCATGATTGTCCACAAAAAACGTGTTATATACTTAAACCTATTATTAATTTTATATTATATAATATTATTTAAGATCTAGTAATGATAATAAGACATACAGTATATAATTAAGAAAATACTAAACTTATTAATAAAATTATCTAAATATATTTCAAAGGCTTCAATAATCATTCATTCTTTTACAACTTGAAATACTTCATAATCTTCCATGGAAAAAAATTGTCGCGTACCAAGTATTTTTTTGTTATAACTAAAATGCATACTTTTTCCTTCGAACCACAAAAGGTCGTTTCCAAATCCGATAGAAGTGTTATCTGCCGAAGAATCTCTTATTGCAAATTCAGCAAACTTAACCCTACTCAAAACATAATTACTTAGATCTTGAGTATTATTTCCAAGAGAGAATATAAAACTTTCAGTAGTTCGAACATATCTATCCGATGATGTCCAAGAATTTGGATTATACCCGCCAATAAGTTCACCCGTTCCCATAATTTTAATCAAAACTATTGTGGCTCCTTTAAAATCGCAAAGATCATGAAAAGTTACAACACCTCTACCGTCCTTACTACCACGAAGTAAAAGTTTAAATTTATGAGTGATATTTAAACTTGTTGTTGGTATTTCGTTATCTTCATGATTAATCCAATTAGCGATAAGAGCTGCATGTAAGCCATTAAATCCTATTTTAGATTTTGGTGAATACTGTGCAATTCTCGGAGGTAAAGAGTATGAAGGTGGTTTAATTCCAGGCACGATATAAAATCTTGTCAATGACTGTTTAAGATTTCTTGGAAGAAATTTTTTGAATGGCCAAATTTTATCATAGAATTTATCCTCAGGTATGTCAAAGTATCGAATTAATGGTAAAAGTTCCTTTAATCTTGCATGTAACGTATCATAATTTTGACGAGTCCAAGTTGAAATATCAGGATTAAGTTGTGGATGCTGTTCTATTCCCCATGTAATCATATGATCCCAAATCTCAATTTCATCCATAGCAATGTCATCTCTTTTTAAAGCAAATATCATGCAAGATTTTTCCAAGGTAGAAAAATCACTTGAATCAAAAAGTAATTCAGGTTGTTGACTGATAAGTTCTCCACAATGTTCTCGAAGCAGATGAAATTCATCATGCCTTAATGCAACTTTAAAAACTTTAACAAAACTTTCGTGCAACCACCCGGTTTCGTCAGAAATGATAAATTCTTGCACGTAATTGACTAATTCAAAGAGTCCAAATTCATCTGAAGCGATCAATATATCAAGAAGAATATCATTTGGTTCGAGAGAACACGTCCCAGTGTAGATGTATCTTTTAAATTTACGGTTTTAACGTTAATAATGATTCTTAAAAAGCAAAAAGCCTCTATATTTTTCAAATTGAACATACTTTAAGATAATCTCAAAAACCTTTGGTGAAATATTGGGTTTATTAAAATATAAAGCGTCACATTGAGTATGAAAACCGTGATTATACTGTGACGGTATTTTCTTGGCCCAATTAGACGATAATGCAACTCTGAAATAAGAAGACCTCGATCGTAAAATCACAGTATGAGCTTTAAAAACTTTAGCTTCATCACCTTGTCCAGCAGTGATAATGACGTTATAATCATCAGCATCAATATATAATCGAGCAATATCGTCCAATAAAGTAGTAGAAAGATTCGATGGCATTGTATTTTAAAAGAGCCAGAGACTAATTAAGAGTATAATCTTGATTCTGTACTTGATCTTATTTAAATTGTCAATTTAAAACTCCAACTGAATTTACATTATCAAAAAAGTGCGCTTGCGCAATTTTATATATGCATGCGTATTTTATATATACTATATGTTGATGTTCATGAAATATCTGAAGAATCTTGGTAAAAGAAAATGCTATCTCGGTGAATGATCCTTAACTATTTTGTCGTCGTACCAAACTTATCGTGTAATTCACCTATAGTAAATCAAATCGTGTTCACAAAATTTGCATACGTACTTAGAGTCATGATTACGTATTGTGCAACATACACCCAATCACTACACGTACCATCATCACGAGGGTCAAAATGAACAGATTAGCGCATAGCATATTTTACCTGTCATACAATTATCGCATCCAATCAGATTTCGTCAAAATGAAACGATATATTGGAGTAGGGTTAGGGTTAAAATTTCGCAGGAGACATTTGTAATTAATGCACAGAAACCAGTCTAAAATTGATCCACAGAAAATGCATAGCAAAAAAAGAACTAGCGCTAGGTCGAAATTGTACAAAACTATACTAAATACGTACGTAATGAAACTGCAACCACTAAGTGAAAAATGTTTCGATTTTCCAGCCAAAATTAATAAATTACTTTAGTGCAGGCTAAATCGATCAGTTTAAACATCGTTAAAATTTCGGGTTACGGGGATTTTTTAAAAATTAGTATTCTTACATCTAACCATGAGATTTAATTGGTGTATTTATATAATTTGTTAATTTTCTGATACGTATTCTATATTTTAAAAGCTATATATTTTGGTAATAAAAAAAAAAAGGATTATCAAAAAAGTTGTAATATAAATTTGGATGAAATATACTATGTTTAGTATTTGTAAAAATTTTAAATTTGGCCTATTTTTAAACAAAATTATTTAATATATAAAAAAAAACAATAAAGATCAAATACTATACGTATACTGTATTTTTGAGCAACTTTATTTTAGTAGTTACTCTACTATTTTTTTATAATACTATAACAGAAATATAATTAGTACACAAATAAGATTTATATTAAGATAATATTAAACTAGATTTATAATTCTATTTGTATTATTTTAATTACTCAGTATAACAAAATAAATGCTACTATTATATATATAATCCTTAGTTTCAAATATTATTAAATATTATTTTAAAAAAAAACCTTTTACGTATGTATAAATGTTTTAATGTTTTAAAAATACAGTAAATTTATACAAATTTGTTACTTAGACAAATTTTACCTATAGATTAAGGAATACGTAGTTATTTCTTATAGAATTACAATGCGTAAATAACATTATAATTTACGTATAACAATGATAATTACAAATAAGTTATCATTATTCAAAAATACATAACAATTTAATTTATTATTAGAAATACATTTGTAATACATATTATTAAAAGACAAAATTATATAATTATATTCTACTAGGTAAATAATAAAAATACCTATTACATATACTACAAAAAAATATTATTATTAAAAAAAATAAGCAACTTAAAAAAAGAAATGCTATGAGCCGTTCCGTTCATTGGTATATATATTCTCATCTTCTTGATAGCTGAAAGGAATTGCTTCTCCTATATTTGATCCTATAGAAGACGAACGTGAATGTTGCGGAGATAGAAATGCATCATCACCTTTGTTTATTTGTTGTAAACTAACGGATTGTGTATTTTGATAATATCCTATGTACGGAGAATATGAATTTCTATCCTCATCATCATCGGTTTCGGGTACTTCATTAGAAAACTTTGGAACATATCCACTATTATTTATTGAATGTTCTTCTATTATCTGTTCGTATTGATTTTGTCTAGTAACAGGAACATTAGATCGATTCATTGAAAAGGATTGTGGTGATCCATTATGATAAGGCGGTTGCAGATGCACTATTGGTTGTGAAGTAGCATGTGATGTTATCATTGGGTCGTGTTGATTGTGTCTGGCAAGGGGGATAGGCTCAGAAACAGCTGCAAAATTATTAATATTATTGTAAGAACGTTCTGGTGCTGTTATATTAGATTGATGAATTGGTAATTGTGATATTGCAGGATCTTGTTGATTTTGTTTTATGAAAGGGATAGGTTCAGAAACGACAGCCAAATCATTATAAGGACGCTCCAGTGCATTTACATTCGATCGATTTGGTGGAAAAGGACTTGGCTGAGGAGATCCATGATTAGGATAATGTTGTCGCGGATAGCCCATAGCTGACAACATTGGTTGTGAAGTAGCTTGCGGTGGTATTATTGGGTGTATTATTGGGTTTTGTTGATTTTGTCTGATAACAGGAATAGGTTCCGAAACAGGCTCTAAATTATAGCGTTCTGGTGAAATTACATTAGAATGGTTTATTGGAGAGAAATTGGGTTGAGGATTAGGTGGATAAGGTTGTTGTGGAGCTATTATTGGGTCGTGTTGATTTTGTCTGATAACAGGAATAGGTTCTGAGTTATACCCGGGATTATACCCGGGATTATATCCAGGATTATATCCAGGATTATATCCAGGGTTATTGTAAGAAATCTCAGAATTGAGATGAGGTGGTATATCATTAGGATGAGGTTGATTTGAATAATCAGCCGTGTTAGAACGGTATTGAGGATTCTGATGAGGTTGACCATAATTAGGGGTGGAAGAGCTTTGAACGTAATTTGGTGTACCAGTCTTCGATGCATAAGGTGGTGGCCCAACCATCATTGGTTCTGGGGAATCTGACCGTGTCATGTCAGTCGAAGGTATAAAATTGTTTGAGTATGGCAATGCTGAAGATCTGGCGTAAGGTGGAAGTGAAGGATCACTCTCATAAATTTCTGGAAGTGTGGGTCGAATAATGGAGATAGGTTTTTTCTTTTTTTTGTTCTTTTTTACATCCTTAATACGTTTTTTACGTTCTTTTTCAAGAAGCTCACCAATTCTGAGAAGATCAAATTAATGACGTTAAGTATTTCATATTAATAAAAATAAAATAAAATAAAAGGACCTAACCTTTTATCAATTTTGTGGCAACAAAATTCCTTCAGATTACCTCTGATTATAAATATCAGCGGTATATAAAGAAGAGCAGCAATAATAAGTCTAAATGCAGAAAAAATAAAAATAAAGAGGGAAAATGCCATCAAAACCACCACAAGACGCTGGACAGTATCATCACCATAAGAAGTAATGTCATAATATTTTCTCAATTTACTCAATGAAGCGAAAGAGTAAAGAGTAATTGCACTAATA